ACATTACACGATTGGTACTGGTAACGAAAATTCCCTAGATCTTGGCATTACCAATATTAATGACTCTTTTGCAATGACCAATGACAAACCGTTACGTTTACGCTGAAGATAATGCGATCGCTGATTGGTTGAATAGTATATCATGTAAAGTTACACCAATCACAGCCGGTGAAACAGACCGTTGTGTTTTAATGTAACCTTGATCTTACTATTTTAATAATTTTTAATTTAACCCAAATTTAATGGCCAACATGAAGGAAATGAAATTACTGTTCCAAACAAAATTACTGGTTACGTGACTTGTAAACACTTATGAAGGTCATGTATAACATTCTTGAAAAATTTAAATTATTTCCTTTATTTGTTCTACGCAAAATGATTTTTACTGCTGTCAAATGCAAAAAGATGATGGAGTTAGAATGTGATTACCTCAAAGTAATTTTTGCAACGATTGGGTAATATATTTTTCTTTTAAAGTTAATTTAATATGTTCTCCTTTTAACAAAGATTACTAAAAAGTTACGATTTAAGTTTCCAACGTGATTATTAATTTTGGGTCACATTACTATCACCCGGCTGAGTCCTAATTAATATTAATTTTCACCCTATTGAGGAAATTAGATAGATTTTACTGAAATCTATAATAGTAAATTAGTAAATATTTTTCATCCCATCAGGAGCGATTTAATAATAATTTGTTTTTTTCAATCGAATCATGAAATCTATAAAAGATACAATAAATATGAAAATATAATCATTTGAAATCATCTATCTCTTTCAGCCCCAAGATACATAACAGTTGTCATCTGACGCACTGTATTAACAATAATTCAAAAGATAAAGTTTGTCAATTCAAATGAATTTGTTTATAAATTTTGAACATGAATAGTTAAATAGGTCGGGAATCCATCATTCTCTGTTTAGTACGTAACCACATTTGTTATTGTTCAACAGGTGCCATTTACGACTCCAGACTAAATATTTTCTATTTTCCTGACACAGCAGAAAAGTTGGTTAGCATAGTGAATAATATAATACAGAACAACTGATATATTTTGCATTGTAGTATGCAGTGTCTTGGTGCTATATGAACAATTCACATTTTATCAAAGTTACTGTGAATGTAGATTATTACATTTTCGTGATTCAATAATAGTAATAAAAAGTGATAAATTTTTGGAATGTAAATATTTGTGTCAAAATTGTACCTGTGTTTATTTTCTGCGAATATTTTATTGTGATTACAGACTAGGTATTGGGAATAATTGTTGCAAATATTGTTAAAAAAAAAATTATAAAACAATCAACAAATGGGTATACAAGGTGCTTCACGGTAAGTGACCTAAACAGTTTTCAAAATGTAACATAACAAATGGGACACTTAGTATCATTTTCTCCAGGTGATTTTGTTAGTAGAAGCTAGTGCATCTTATGTTCTTCGTGTGTCCCGAAAAGCAAGTAAAAGCTTCCAGAACGAAGAAAAATATAAGGAGTTTTCGAAACGCTTGCATCTGTCAAAATTTTTATAAAATGTCGATTATCTCCAAAACGGTTGGACGTATAGGGAAGCTTCAACATTTTTGACTAATTTTTAATTCATCTTATTTTTTGTCAATAGTGCTATAATATATAGGATGTTTCACTTAAAACAAAGTTGACAGATACTTCCTTTATAACCGGAAGTGCTAGTTTGATGGCATTATTTTCATTAAAGAGGGCATATCTATATTATATTTGGTTTCTCTGAAATGTTTAATAGGTCACTTACCGTGAAGAACCGCGTAAAATAAGATTAGAAATACCTACTGACAAATTTCATTTGAACATCTGATTCATCAAATATATATTTAATAGCATGACATCAATAAATATAAAATTTAACTCCAAAAAATTATAAAACAACCTACAAATAGGTAGCTATATAAAATCTGCATAAAATAAGATTAGATACCGATAAATTTCATTTTAACATCTGATTCATCAAAATACAGTATATTCAATAGCTGCATGACATCAATGAAATTAAAATTTAACTGCAACAATAAGTTACTGACTATAAATAGTAATTATTATCTAATATTTAATGAAAACGTAAAAAAGTAGGAAACTTCGGACAAAAGAAGTAATAACCTGATAAAGTTTTGAAATAAAAAAAGACTATACTGAAGTTAAGACAAAGAAAACAAACAATTTCCATATTAAATATATGTATTACAGAGTGAGTAGTCAAATTAATATAGTTACTAATATAGTTAGTGAGAATTCTGGCCATATTAGATCTACAGAAAACATAAATTATCTTAAAGCAGTTTCGTCTCTTTATTGAAACATCTTCAGGACTAGTGATTTTCGTAGTTGGCGAGTTTTCTCTTGTTATTAGACCAAATTGCCTCACCACCAATTAACTATATTAACTTAGCAACTAATTCTATAATTTAAGCAAAAAACTGGAGACAAGTTTACTCAAGATTTTAGGTAAATATGGGCTTTCCTGAAGAAATAATAATAATGTTTACAAGACATAACAAAATACGAAGAGAAAATACAATAAGAAATATAGTTGGAATTTAATCTTAAGCGTGGCAGTAAGCCAGTTGCAGACAGAAACATATGGTAGTGAGACAGCGGAATAGATGAAAATTTGGGATAATAACAACAGAAAACTTGGCAACTATGAAAATCGATAGTCCTGAAGATGTCTCAATAAAGAGGCGAAATGTCCATATTAAGACAATTTTTTAAATTCCCAATTGGTCAGAAATTTCCCATTACTACTAACTATATGTATTTGCACACGCTATTAGTGTTACTGGATATGAAATATAATACTGTTGATATTAATTTTAAGTTTGACAAAGTGTTTTCATGTTAAAAATGTTATATACCATTTAATTACGAGAATCTCTATATTATTTGAATTAGTATTAGGTACCTAATTTAGGCCTGGAAAATAAGCTGGGAAATGACCGTTTCGCGACTTTTTGTTTCGGCAAGCTGAATTTATCACTATAGATGCTAAATATTATGTACAATAACATATTAGTTTCCACAGTCATAAAAATGGGGGGAAGATTGTTTACAGGGTGATTAATTGTATAATTTTTACGTAAATTCACGTTTTTCGCTTATAACTTTTTTCCGTTCATTTCCACGAGAAAACAGTAAAGTACTTTTTTTCGTCTTCAAAAGATCTACAAAACTAGCCCTCGGGCGTCAAAAAATATTGATTAGATCAAAAGTTATAAACAGAAGAAGTTTATTTATGACTTTTGAAGTAAACATTTATAAACTGCGTTGTTATTACCAGAACGTTTTGGCATCGCATCCTCTCATATAAAAACTTATAAACAAATTAACTAATTATTAGTCAGGACGATCCCGAAGATCTTCCACAATCGCACTGATTTTTTTCAAGGTAGATTTCATAATAATGTATTAAAATCTATAATTTTTTTTTAATTTCTTTGCAACCTGGAATTTTTTTTATTTTTTAGCCTTAGTTGCAAAATGAAATATACGACGCACGAGCGTGATATAGTTATATATTATTACATATTCGGAAAGCTTATAAAAAGAGCTTTAAATTGTCAAGATTCGTTGAAGAACAACGGAATTACAGATTGTCAAAGTTGACGGCCGATTGTTAAACAAATTAGGTTGGTAGCGGCAAAAAAAAAATTTGTCATAACGTCAACCCGAGTACTTTCCCAGGTAAAAATATTTTATTTGTGCATAAGAAATATTGTCAAAAGTCATTGGGCTTGATTTTCGGTGAGCCATGGCGCGGTGGAAGGGTGGGGGAAGCGAACGACAGCGAGTCCGAAGAAAATGACGATAATATTCATAGTCCTGCCGTTAAATAAGGGAAATTCGCTTGAAATTAATATATTTGACAATCTGTAACTCCCTTGTTTTTCAACGAATCTTGACGATTTTCTTTTAACTTAAAGCTGTTTTCATAAGCTTTCCGAATATGTAATAACATATAACTATATCACGCTCGTGCGTTGTTTGCAACTAAGGCTAAAAAATAAAAAAAAAATCCAGGTTGCAAATTGAAAAAAAAAGATAGATTTCAACATATTATTATGAAATCTATCATGAAAAAAATCAGTGCGATTGCGGAGATCGTCCAGACTAATAATTAGTTAATTTGTTTATAACTTGTAAACTATTCAACTTATCGATTCCAGATTTTGTGCCAGTTATTAGACAGTGATAAAGAATGAGAGGATGCGATGCCAAAACGTTCCGGTAATAACAACGCAATTTATAAATGTTTACTTCAAAAGTCATAAATAAACTTCTTCTGTTTATAACTGTTGATCTCATCAATATTCTTGACGCTCGAGGGCTAGTTTTGTAGGTCTGTTGAAGACGAAATACAAGTATTTTACTGTTTTCTCGTGGAAATGAACGGAAAAAAGTTATAAGCGAAAAACTAAACAATCTTCGCCCCATTTTTATGACTGAGGAAACTAATATGTTATTGTACATAATATTTAGCATCTATAGTAATACATTCAACTTGCCGAAACAAAAAGTCGCGTCTAACTCTATATTTCCTGGACTAAATTGAATAGACTCAACATTTATAATTTATGTAATATACTAAGTTAATATTTTCTTTCACCAGTTTTCGACTCAATTAGTAGATCAAGAAATTGTCCAAGATTCAGACACTTGTACAAATAAAACTGATTGGTATGCAGTATCTGTTTGTCAAAAACCTGTTGAATATAAATCAGATTTTACAAAAAATTGTGTTAAATTTATTAGCAAGAATTGAAGATTGTCCTAATTGGAAAATTTTGAGATTCGCATTTTTATTTTAAGTAAGTTCGAATTTAGTGGTCTTAAATTTAATCAGTAAATGCCATAGTCAGGTGCCATAAATATACGAACTGTGAGAATTTCTTGACCAGTTCTTTAAATAATTAATTAGGTCAAAAATTGTTCAATGTAAATCCCGTTTATATTTTTCAGATTTGTAAGGAAAAATGTCTTTTGAAAACAATTTATTAAGAAAGACTAAACACCTTAAAATCAAAGATGATCAAATTATAAACATTCTTCTGCTTGGTGAAACCGGAGTAGGGAAATCAACTTTTATAAATTCCATTGCAAATTACTTAACGTACAGTGATTTTAAGAAAGCAGAGAAGGAGGAATTAATAACATTAATTCCTTTAAAATGCAAAATGAAAGATAAGTACGGCGAATATCATATAATCCAGATCGGTTCTGAGGATGATCAAAACGAATGTCTCGAGGTAGGAATGTCAGCCACACAGCATGTGAAGTCATATGTATTCCCCATATGGAATGGTACAGCAAAAGTGCGTTTGATTGATACCCCTGGAATTGGAGACGTAAGGGGCGTCCTTCAGGATTACACGAACTGCGAGAATATTCTGAGTTACATTGGACAACTACATGAGTTACATGCAATTTGTTGCCTATTCAAACCCACCAATTCCAGAATAACAAATTTCTTTAATTATTGCCTGACTCAAATCCTTTCGCGCCTAGACAAATCAGCAAGTAAAAATTTAATCTTCATATTTACAAATACCAGAGGCAGCGATTATGGTCCCGGAGATACATTTGCCAGTTTACAGAAAATCATAGATGATATAAAAGCTACACCACCCCACGTGGATATTCCTCTGGATACTCGTAATAATGTGTTCTGTTTTGACAATGAGGCGTACCGGTTTTTGGCTGCAGTAAAGAAAAAAGTCGAATTTGGCACGTCTATAAAACAACGAAATTACGAGAGTTGGAAACGATCAGTTGATCAGTGTTTCAAGTAAGTTTTAGACTAATAATTCAATTTGCTTAAGCGTACTTAATAAATTACCCTATCTGAAAATTAGATTACATAAACTAAGATACTAATATTTTCAAAAGTTAACTTTAAAACGGGTTAAGGTAGAGAACAATAACTATATAGAATATGTAAGAAAGTGACATACACGGTGGTAATTTTTTGGGGTTCGCTCTCTTGACCACTCTATAACTTTTCTCCATGCACGTAAAAACGTGTCAAAAGTGTCATTTGACATTTGTAAATCTATACATTTTGACTAAAAAGAATGTTGTTCCCAATTGTACACACCAAACTTTGCCTGGTGATGGAACACATATTTGTTTGTGTTGAAAAATAATCATATTAAAAATGTATGTATTGTTTTACACTTACACTTTGTCTAAGAAAGTGCGAGTGAGCTAACTAACATATTTCAAATTTTTACTTTATACAGGGTGTCAATTTACTGCCTCCTTTCTATTATGACTTACCTTTAAGTCAGACAAAAAAATCTCTTATCAGACTGTTAACGAGATGGTGCATTTCAAAATTGATGACATGCAAATCAATCAAATCAAATCAAATCATTTATTGGTGTCGGTGTTTATACATTAAAATGTTTACACAAGTCAAAGAAAGAAAAACACGAAAGATACAATATATAAGCAGTACTACACTAAAGCTAAAAAACACATTCAAATAAATATAACGTAAACAGCATAAACAAGTGAATATTACGAACATACATTAAATATCTAAAAACTGGTCAGCAAGGAACTCATCAAAATTATAAAACGCTTTTCTCTTAAGATATTTTCTAATTCTGGCCTTAAAACAGTCTGAATTTAGTGATCGAATCTCAGATGGAAGTCTATTAATGAATTTAATGTAAAAATAATTTGGGCCATCTCTGGATTTCGCTAATCTATGAAATGTAGGCCTAATATTGTGTCGTTCTCTTGTATGATGAAAGTGAAAATTTTCTTGTCGAACAAATCTATTCTGATTATTTTTTATATAAATGAGACATTCAAATATGTAAACTGACGGCATTGTAAGAATATTTAGCAGTTTGAAGTGCTCCCGACAATCATCTCTGTATTTTATTCCAGCCATAATTCTAATACATTTACGTTGTAAACCAAAAATTTTATCACTGTGAGACGAATGACCCCAGTTCAAAATTGCATAAGTCATGGTGGCATGAAAAGTACCATAATATGCAGATATGAGTACAGGCTTAGATACTACACGATCCAAATTACGCAGTAGGAAAATATTCTTAGATAAACGTGCGGATAAATCATTGACATGTTTTTCCCAACTCAATTTAGTGTCAAGGTGAACTCCAAGAAATTTAATGCTATTTGAGTTATCACAAGTATTGATATGGCGAAGTGTAAAAAGCAAAGATTGAGTTTTGTCAACATTTAAGTTCAATCTATTAGCAATAAACCAGTCCTTTATCAGCGGCAGCGTATCCACTGAATCCTCTGTGAGTTTAATTAAGTTATTATTTGACTTTAAAGCGGTAGTATCATCGGCAAATAAAATAAAATCAGTAGTTATATCACAATTTGGGAAATCATTGATGTAGATAAGAAATAGAATAGGGCCCAATACTGAGCCTTGGGGAACTCCATGAACAATTTTTGTTAGGTGTGAAGAACAAGAATTATAAAAAACATACTGAGTTCTGTTCGATAGATAAGACTCAATAAGGGACACGCTATTGTCATCAAAATTGTAAAATTTTAGTTTATTTAAGAGAATTCTGTGGGACACACAGTCAAATGCCTTAGTCAAATCGTAAAAATTTCCACTGACAACATTGTTAGATTCGAAATTGTTTAAAATATTGTAGTCAACTGGTTATGCATTCATATATAGAATATTGGAAAAAAACGGCTTATAATTTTATGAATTCTTAACATTGCTTTTTTTTTAAATAAATTTAATATTTTCTTACTATAGTTTTTTCTTTAAGTCGTCATATTCCAACAACCACCAAAGGTAAAGTTAGACTCCTTGGTATCAAAACAAGGATAATTGAAGGGTTTATTACTACTTGTAAAAAATATGGTCCGTAATATCCATATTCTGAAAAACATTTTAGATACTGTGTACAAAATATTTTTGTTCTGCCACTATTTTCGCATGAAATATACCTAACCTATTGCTCTTAAATTATATTAAAAATGGAAGAATAGTAAGTTGTTAAGTTGAAATAAATTTGAAATTATTTCGAGGACTAAGGAGACTTCAGATGGAACGAAATACTCTCTTATCTGCCACACTAGCTATGTAGCTATGTATTTTCCAGACATATTTAAGAAAATATAGATTTAATTTTAGAAAGTATAATTTCAAATTCATTCAAATTTAGCAGTTATTTCTGTTTCAGAAAATGAAAACAGAATTTCAGTTCCTAATTTTGATTCCTAATTTTGATTTCAGACAACTTTTCAGTTACATTTTGCAGAACGCAAGTCGATATTTGTGTTTTAATTATCGAACAGTTCTCAACTGTATTAAAGGAACCAATTATAAACAAATATGGAAAGGACCCCTCACTTTTTTTTATGTAAAACTGGTTTCAGTTAAATTGGCTGAAATTTTTATGTGTTACAGCTCTTAATCTGTCGATCAAGTCTCCATTGGCCCAATATCCTAAAGTTCATAGTTTTCGAGTTACATTGACTTCAGAGCAATAACTCTGTATTCGAAGGGGTAAAAATGTTATTTGATATTTTTTGTTTTTCGCATTTGCATTACCCAAGGTGTACCACGTGGAGGTTGCAAAATCGGTTCAACGCCTCTTTGGGGTGCCTTTGTTAGCGTGATGTCCCCTTGCCTCTCACCATCGGAGTGTCTTTTTTACCGTGAGTTCCCGTTGCCTTTCACAAATCTTAGTACGTCTAGATGCATTTATTTTATTTTCATGGATCCAACCTATCATAAATTTCTATGTTATTATATCTGTTGAGACTATCATTAATATAGTTTAATATTGCGACATTGGGGTAATGTATATTTTGTTGATATCGCGCAAAACCCAAATACCACAACACGCTGGCTATGTGAGCCCAACAACCTATTGTTCTTGCACCAGCTTTACAAGTGCAATAATTAGGCCAATCATTATAGCTTTTTTCCGGGAAAAAAATACTATTAGAAGTTTCTCTGCGGAATATTGTTCAGAAACGTGTTACAAACAAAATATCAAAAAATCAACTCGAGACTAGTTGGGAAACCTTGTTAAAACAATGGTCAAAATTATGGAAAAGTGGTTTTTTGACTCGCGTAAAAAAACTGTTATTCATAGAGAAAAAAGGTTTATACAAAAAAGGTAGGTATTAAATAAATCTGTAAAATAAGACAAGTCCGATTAAATTCCGATAATTTGTTTATGCGCAAGAGCTCAAAAATGGTCGAAATTGTCCGCTTTTTTCAATTGCTAATAATTAATGCAATTTTCATCGCAGACACTTGTAATTCAGGATTTTTGAAGCTTTTTGCACCCTTAATAAGTGGTAAAAATTTCAGCCCAAAAACTTCATTAGCTTGGCGTTGGCGGAATTTGTTATCTAAGAAGATGCTATTTTCAATTCATTTTTCCCAAGCTCACAGGCGTTGTAGGGTTTCGATCATTAGTTGTTTTTGTACCTAAATAGTTGTATTGACATATGCATTTACTGATAATTTAATTTTTCAAATTTAATTTGTTTAAAAATGACTGAAAAAATGTTAATATTTATTACATCGTTAAGCGCGCATGCTAAGCCTCGCCTTCCCCACTCGTTCGCTAGACCAAGTAATAGAACGCATCGCCGCTATCTTCTTTTTCGAAATTAAATAGTTGAATTCACCTTAATGTTAATGTAGGACATGAAAATATAGCTCTTAATGTATACTCTCTCCAAATTTCGGCTCTTAATATTAATAATTAAGGTCACTGCGATTAAATAAATAAAAAAAATTATCTCAGCTTCTAATCAACTTACAACAACGATTTTTTTTTAAATTCGAAGAAAACTAAAGTAAAGAGGTTACTATTTTATTTTATAATAATTACCTATCTTAACAATTTAATAAATATTAACATTTTTTCAGTCAATTTTAAACAAATTAAATTTGAAAAACTAAATTCTCAGTAAATGCCTATGTCAATACAACTATTTAGGTACAAAAACAACTAATGATCAAAACCCTACAACGCCTGTGAGCTTGGGAAAAATGAATTGAAAATAGCATCTTCTTAGATAACAAATTCCGCCAACGCCAAACCAATGAAGCTTTCGAGCTGAAATTTTTACCACTTATTAAGGGTGTAAAAAGCCTCAAAAATCCTGAATTACAAGTGTCTGCGATGAAAATTGCATTAATTATTAGCAATTGAAAAAAACGGCAATTTTCGACCATTTTTGAGCTCTTGTGCATAAACAAATTATCGGAATTTAATCGGACTTTTTTCATTTTATAGGCTTATTTAATACCTACCTTTTTTGTATAAACTTTTTTTCGCTATGAATAATAGCTTTTTTACGTGAGTCAAAAAACCACTTTTCCATAACTTTGACCACTGTTAAAACAAAGTTTCCCAACTAGCCTCGAGTTAATTTTTTGATATTTTATTTATAACAGGTTTCCGAACAATATTCCGCAGAGAAACTTTTAATAGTATTTTTTTCCAGAAACAGGCTCTTTTATGTCTATAATGACTGGGCTAAATATCCGAGAATGGGCTCTTCGATTTCATCTGGTTCAGTCGCATAAGATACCCACAGCTGATGTTTCACTGCATTCCGGAAACGTGAGTAAATTCTGATCCGTAGAAAACCTGGTCCTAGAACATGTTCGTCGAATTGAAATACTTCTGTTTCTTCTATATCAAGCTTATCTTGAATATAAGATGGAGCTAAACCAACCTGTAAACGCCAATGGTTATCCTATGTAAATAATCGAGGTCAAATCTAGGAAATTCTCTAACATGATTTTCATTAAGTTGGTTCCATATAGCATTCCTTCTAAAGAGATTTTCGACTTCAACTCGAGTTTGAACTACATTCACGTCATTAATTCTTTGACGCAATTCTCTTGCTAATGGAACAGCAGTATCCTGCATTATTAACAGGTTAACATTGTTAAAGAGGTGTCGGATCGATTTTGTAACCTCTTGGTTGCACCTTGGGTAATGCAAATGCAAGCGGCAACAATTATCAAATAACATTTTTACCCCTTCGAATACAGAGTTATTGCTCTGAAGTCAACGTAACTGGAAAACTGTGGACTTTTGGATATTGTGCCAATGGAGACTTTTGATCGGCATGTTAAGAGCAGTAATATGTAAAAATTTCAGGCAATTTAACTGAAACCACTTTTACATAAGAAAAGTGCGGGGTCCGTTTGAATGTTTCTGAAATATAATTTACATTTTCTGGATTAAAACTGATTTTGAAATTGTGGCCTCCTTTATTTTCTGAAATAAAATTGACGTACCTTAAATTCAATTTCAAAAATACATGAGGAAAATGGACTAAAAATTAATAAATTATTTTCAAGTATGTACAGAGTGATTCACTATATTTTGACCCCCCCCATTAACTTTTGTGTTTTAAGAGTTATAAAAAATGTGAAAACACGATTTTTTATGAATTTTTCAAAAATTATAGTAGAAAAACAAACAAAAACAAATTTAAATGGAACCCTCTGTTTGTTTTTACATATTTCGATAGAACGTATATGTAGGGTTTGATAGGTCTGTCTCTAACGATAAGCGAGACACTATTTAAAAAGGAAAAGGAGATTTTTTATAAGAAATAAGATATCTTGTAATTGTTAGACCTCTTTCAGGCATTTCTGGCTTTTTTCCAATTACGAAAGGATTTACAGATTTAGTTGTAATATATTTTGACATATCAATATGGTCCAAAATGCGTATAGGTATTTTAACTAATAGTACAGTCATTGAAGCTTTTCACCTCCGAATTCTTTGAAACTGAACCGATCGACTTGAAATTTGGCAGATAGTTAGAGAAAAGGTCAATAAACATTAGTGACATAGCGCCGATTGACGCTTCCGCCCTGTTCGGGGTTGACATCCCTTCTCGGTACTGGATTTTTTTTTTCAAAAGTAATGGAATGGAGTAAATGGAAATCGATAGAGAATCAAATTTTGAGCAAAAAATATTCGAAGAATTTTTTCGAGAAATCAATAGTTTTTAGTTATTCACGATTGAAAACTTGGAATTTTGAGTGTAAAAAAAAAACACTTTTTCATAGTATTTTTCGCGAATAACAAAAAAACTACGCATTTTATTAAAAAAAGTGTAATAAACAAAAATGTAGCTTATAAATAAACAAAGAAAATCGTTTTTTAAAAAGTGTTGTACGTCCTATACAAAGCGAAATATGGTTAGTGGAAGGGGACTTGTTTTGGGGGNATCACTATTTTTTGCATAGTGGTAGTTTTTAAGGATTAAATAAAGGGTCGAAAAGATCAAATATATCATAAAACATGTTCGAGAACATGGAACATTATTTAATCTTTGTGCTTGAACTATATTTTTATCAATAAACTTAAAACTTATTTTTTAAATTCTTTCAACTTGGGGTAGTTTTTACCCCTAAAAAACAAAAAGCGTCAATCGGGCTTATGTCACTTTTGAACTTGAGCCTAAGATGAGCCTTATTCTAAATTTGCATGCAAATCCATGCAGTTTCGGAGGTTACAGCTGATTTTCAGCTTCAATGACTGTACTATAGGTAAATCTCCCTACTTAGGCCGTGAAAGGTCTAACTACTCATGGACAATGTTATATGGTAGGCCGTGACAGTGACAGGTAATGTCATGTCAACATTGTTATTGTTTGACAGTTTGTATTATTATTTATTTAAAATGGGTTACACAGAAGTAGAAAATTGAAATATTGTAAGAATTAAAATAGAGTAAAGTACTTCTCCATACTCTATTTTAATTCCTAATAATATTTTAAATTTCTACTTCTGTGTATAATCATAATTAATTAAATAATAATACGAACTGTCAATCAATAACAATGTTATCATGAGATTACTACCTGTCACTGTCACGACCTACTTATGTAATATTGTTCATGATTAGACCTCTCACGGCCCAATTAGTGAGATTTAGTTAAAATACCTATACACATTTTGGATCGTATCAATGTCCGATATGTCAAAATATATTACAACTAAATCTGTAAATCCTTACGTAGGTAATTGGAAAAAAGGCAGAAGTGCCTGAAATAGGTCTAACAATTACAAGATGTCTTATTTTCTTAATAAAAAACCAAAAAACGTTTTTTAATAGTATCCCGCTTATTGTTGGAGATGGACCCAACAAACCCTATGTGACAATGCTCGTCAAAAAAAATAAAAAAGTTAAAGGGGGGTCAAAATATAGTGAATCACCCCGTACACTTATATTCCAAAACTGATGTTGTTTACAGTTTAATAAAGTACATTACCGGAGATTCTCAACAGCCTCCATTGAAACCCCATTTTATAAAAAGTACCAGCGCCATCAACGAAGCCCGGAGACTTATTGTACAGCTTTCTCAGCCGCTTGCCGAAATATCTCAACTTATCAGTGACAATCTATACGCTCTGAAAAAACACAAAGAGAATTTGGATTTGAACTCGGATACTTTAGATGAACTGAGACAGAAACTATACATGCCCGTGATTGGTTTAGACGTGATAACATTAACCCAACCTGTCACTGTATGCGCTAGTAGAAAATGTGCGGAAATTTATAAGGTACGTATTTTCTACTAAATTAAGCTAAAACACATTGATTTGAATACTTGCAAAAACATCTTCTGGTCGTGTTGGGATCTTAAGAAGGCCCGCGATTATTTGTCCGAAATTTTAAGAATATACAGGGTGTGATATATAATCGAGGTGATTTTTTTTGTGATTTGATCATTTTCAGTTGAGTTTTTCAAATTATTTTGCGGCGAAAATAAATAATAAAAAAGTAAACGTAACCTAACCTAATCTAACTTTATAACATGACCTCATCTTTCAACAAATGATGTTGTGGAAAGCAACTACTCTTTCTGCAGATTACTGCCCCGATCAGTATTAAATTGCACCAGCAGTATCTAGTAATATCTTTCAATAGCTAAAATCATTCGCCAGTAGAACCACCAGACATGTACCGGTTTCAAACTTATTAGTTCTCATAATCAGTATGCCATTGATATGAGATAACCGACGAATGATCTAACGATTTTGAGCTATCTGTATAACCCAATCTAGTGACGAATAAGCCTATGTGTTTACTAGATATTGTTGTATAATTCAGTGCTGAATGTATAACATGTATTATATATAACACGTTTTGTTTGTTATTATTATTTTTTACATCTCACCCACACTCACCATAACTGTAACAAACAACTCTTCTTCCACGTAACACTAAACTTACATGAGTTAAAAAAGAATAAAATTATTAAATGTCAATTACGAAATGTGCGCTTCGTCTGATTAACAACTGCCTGCTACTCCTGTTAGATTTATTATGCAATGGTATAATAGAGTAAACTACTACTAAACTATATTTTTACAAAAAAATTTAGTTATTTATCTTTGTTTTTGTCTTCAAAATTCTAATCTAAAGTGACTGAAAGTTAAATGTGATAGTATTTTGTTTATTTTCTTTCAAAGAAACAAAGTATAGGGGTATTACTTTCCTCATCGTTGAGAATATAAAACCAAAAATTATCTAAATTTAAAAAAGGATTTCTAACACATTTATCATTGTATAGCAAAATAAACGCATGTTTCCGTTTTCTTTCTGCCGAATTACTTCCTTCTTCCAAAACTTCTGTTAGTACATTGAATATTAGAATTTTGAGAACGAAAATAGATAGGTTTTCTAAACTTTAACAATTTTTCATATGTTTATAGTGTAATAGTGGACAATTTATCTAATTTCTCAGTATGAGATAATTGTGGTTAGGTAAAACATAATTTATAAAATCAAGCCCTTGTTTGCCTAATCACAAACATTAGAGAAATATTTGTAATTAAGCAAAATTAAATTTATAAAATCAACTCCTTCACTATTCCTTTTAGTGCAAGATTTTATTTATTTAACACTTCTTCTTTTCAATGTCAAAAATACCCAATTAAATAAAAAAAAGTAATAAAAAGTGCCATAGGTCATAAATAATTAGACAATATTGGTATGAATTTTACTGTTTGGAACAGTAATCCAATTCATTTTCTAACATTTAAAATTATCACAGTTATTTAAGGAAATCAACAATTCTAACCGTCTCCATTTATGTGAGGGTCTCTGGTCTCATCATCAGACAAAATCAGTTTTTCCTTACACGAGTCTCTCAAAATTGATGATGCGACATCGCAAAAAGTACTGAATTTTGAAAATTTATTTCTATGATACAATTTGCTTAAAATTTGAAGGTAATGGAAATATATCACTTTCCAACGTTTCTATGAAAGAAGAATTTCTATAACTCCAGTTCATTTACATTTGCTTTAAAAAGCTCTACTTGAGCTCTTAATTAATTTCATCGAGGAGTTCTATCAGTTATCTTTTTACAAAATCAAAAAATCGCATTTCGTTATCGGAACGGGAAGTTTTATGTGCATCATCCTGTATAATAAATTTGGATTATCACTAAATTTCAAAATGGTCTTTCTCAAAAAACCGTTACAAGGATTGGTGCCTCTATAATTCATCTGAAATATCTTAGTTATTTCTAATTTCAAGAGTACTTCTACTTTATAAATTGTCATGATTCATCTCAACATTTGTACTGCAAACAGAGGTTTAATAGTATTATTTTTAGGTGAATGACATTAATAAATGGCATTACAAACAAAGGTGTCACGATCCTTGTTTCCTTAAAAATGTCCCCAAAGAGGTAGTCGGAAGCCCTGAATTGGTGAAATGCGCTGCTATTGATTCTTCAACTAGCGCGTGTATGAAGTGTCACTGCGACTTTTCTACGCATATGCATGTTTATTACATGACAAAAACGGTGGAAAATAAAACAGTTGATAAAAATGTCAAGCAGACCATCGACAGCAAAGAAGTGCTTCTGCAGAACGCCAGAAAATTAATAACTGATATCTCTAGGAGGAAGGATGAACTGGAAAACGAACACAACATTATCGTAAGAACTTGTGCAAAGTTTGCACATTTCTTGCAGAATAATGCAATTATACCATTCAGCGACTCCTACAAGGACTATATTGAATATTTGATCATGCGGTAAGTTTTCTTAAGATTTTTATAGAGAGCCTTCATAAATGTTTACAAGCCACGTGACCGTCGAGCGTAGGCAATCAACAATTCATGGTTGGTAAGATCAAATGGAAATCCCTAAACCTTAGTGGAATGGTTGAAGGGGTTACATGTAATTAAATAAAATTGTTTTTAAAATTGATTGACATGAACTATCGATCTTAAACTTAATACATACAGGGTCGGAAAGTCCCTATCTTACATCCGCCGTTATGTGAGAGCGATAAAGAAAGTCATAGAAATCCGTGCGATAGAGAAAGATGGCTATAATGAAGGCGTCTAATAGTCACCGCCCATTTCGCCCTTCCACAAATAAGATCCACTTCTCTTTATTTAGTTCTCTAAATAACATTGACATAATCCAAGCCAAAATTAAATTGTAAAACTATACCAATCTTGTCCTTAAAAAGAATTATTGCTTTATTTTAAAATTTATTTGTAACTGCAATATTTCATTTTTTTATTAATTCCAAATATCTGAGTAGTTATAAAGATTATTGTTTCCATAACGAGGCAGGCTATGCCCTATGAAAATAGACAACTGAAAAATTATGCCAAACGAAATGTGACAGCTCTTGCTACGTGCAAAATTAGTGTTATTTGTGTTGGAAAAGTGCTTGTGAACAAGGAAAATGCCTTTTACGAATGTGGAAGAGTATATGTTGGCAGTTCAATGTTTGAAAAATGCCGTTATAGCTTCAAGAGAATACGCTTTGCGATACCCTCGTAGAATACGCTACTCCAGATAAGTATTTCAGCGTTTATCCAGACGCCACTACATTCTGTAAGAAGACATCGCCGTGCAAGAACGGAAGACAATATTATTAATATGTTGGCTTGTGTCCATGTAAATACCCAAATAAGTCTAAGGGAATTAGTTAGAGACCTGGAAATTTCATATGGAACACAAGTAGGTACTTTTCTCAC